TAACTCATTCTCGAATTATCCCCCCTTATTCTGTTGATATAGTAAGCTGAAGAGTGCACATCCTATGTATTCCCCCATGAAAATATTACCATGCCCCACCAGTGGGTCATGCACCCCATGTTGGGAATCATTGTAATAGTTCCTCAGTACTATGTTCAATTTAGGGACACAAATTACATTTCAATCTGTACTAATTCAAATCCAGGGTCAACTGCTATCTATCCTACAAATCATCATAATAGGCCCCTTTTTCAGTCTGTACCATCAGTATTGTTAGTTTACCATCAGTATTGTTAGTTTATTTTTGAATACACCTGGTATATTAAATTATCTATCAAGTCACAACAAGGATCTGTATGATGATTAAAAGGTAAGTTTTGTTTTGGAAGTGTTAAAATTTACAAACCATTTCTTGCTCCAGTTAGCAACTGGTTGGAAGTCAATTTTGAGAGCAGCTACCAGTTTTACTTTGTTACACTTATTGAACGTGTCCTAGATAAGACAATAAACTATGTCTGACAGCAAGGCCTCAGATCAGGAGGTTTTAAGGAGGGTGGAACCACTTCTTAATTGCTAGTGTTCCCAGGTCCACCTTGACGCAGGGTTGTAGCACCTGTTAGGGTTCAAACTATGGGCAAATAGTTAACCCCCCCCCAAACTGGGAGGAAAACACTATGAAAGTGTAAAAATAGGTTTTAATATCAGCAATAAATTTGTTGCTAAAAAAATGATTACCAGCAATACATTTTCAAAAAAAAAAATCTTACTAGCAATACATTTTTTTAAGAAAAAAAATGTTGCCAGCAGTACATTTGGGAAGGAAAAAAAAAATGTTGCCAGCAGTACATTTTTGAAGGGAAAAAAAAATCTTGCCAGCAATGAAAATCTTGTCACCATTAAATAACCCTTTGAGGTTGATATGCCGTAAAACAAAATAAACCAAACCAAACCTATTGACTTACTATTAAGATAATAGCAAATAGTTGTCATCAGCATAAGTAACTAGTTAGGAACTGATGACATCAGGAAGCTTATCGATGAAGATAGGGGGGAAAAAATGTAAGACCAAGGATATATCCCTGGGAGACGCTTGCATTAATGTGAATGGATCTAGAAACTTGGCCGTTCAACATGAGTTTCATTACACAATTCGTTAAGAACAATTGAATTAAGTCAAATATTCTACAACAGACATGATAGCTTTTGAGCTTGTGAAGAAGGCCAGCAGACCAAACACTGTCAAAGGCCTTTGAGATATCTAAATCCACAGCCCAAGCCTCACCATTCTTATCTAAAGTTTGATAGACAAATTCAGTAATGACCATTATTAACACATTGGTGGTTACCTTAGAGAAATGAAAGCCATCTTGTTTATCTCAAAGAAAGTTGTGTTTAAAAGATGGAATGGTAATCATTATATTAGTTATTTCCTTATAAGGAAATATTCGACATTCATTGACCAAGCAGTTAGTGCTACTGTTAGCTGAAATTTATAAGATCTTTTTATTAACCCAATTTTTCAAGAAAATGGATTTTGCAGGTCCAGTACCTTTTATTGTTCTTGCCAGTATTGATGGGGGCTTTCTCCATAGATCTTTGTTTGAAGTAGTGTGGAATGTCAACATGAAGTGACACTTTATGTGAGGTCCCAAGGGATTACTTTGAATTTGACTAAGATGCCATTGCCCTAGGTAGTCTACTCTTCTCTTCTCTTAATAAATGACTGGATAATTTATGGACAGAAAATGTATATCTGCTGGTTTGCATCATTTATAAGAGTTCAATGAAACAAATATTTAATTTGAACTTGTTCACCATGCCAGACTAGGTTAAGATTTCAAATAGATAACTTCTATCATGAATGCTTGACTGCACACCTCAATCAAAAAACTCTCTCTCTCTCTCTCTTTCAGCTATTTCTGGGGCTGGTTATCTGACAAGAAAGGTCGAAAGTTGGTGCTCTTATTAACTGTAGCAGGCAATGGTATTTTCTCATTGATTTTTGGATTTACCAGCAACCTTGCTATGGCTATCATCACCAGGTTTCTCACAGGTGTCACTAATGGTAAGTTACATTTTTTTATTTAGAAAAGTTTTTATCTAGAAAATACCACAGATTTTTTTTTCCCCACCTGTTGAATGTTTCATTCAATAAACAAAATAATTTTAAAGTGATTAATGGATTTTTTTTTTTTTTTAATCTGATATTCTTCCTTACAAATATAAACATATTTTTAGTAGGTATTTTTGTTTGAGTAGGTATGTTTTTTTTGTTTTTTTAAACAACAAAATTAATGTCTACCAGCCTAGAGATTGAAAGTTCTAAAGAAAATGTGCTGCCCAACACAGAGAAATACACCTCCCTGGTTAGAAACTTTTGAAATCTATATCTCCTTTTTATTTTGTTTACAAAAGTCAAAGGAATTTTTAAGCAATTAATGTTTTTTAATAGATTTTTAAGCAGTTAATAGATTTTTAATTAAGCAGTTGATGAATTTTTTAATAGTTTTTAAGCAGTTAATGGATATTTTTAATTGATTTTAAAGTAGTTACTGGATTTTTAAGCAGTTAATAGCTTTTTAATCTGAAATTATTTTTTATAATTGTTAAATATTCGTGGGCACCTGTGTTTGAGTAGAAATCTGTTTCTTAAGCCATGTCTCATGGCCTAGAGATTGAAAGAAAATGTACCTGCCAATAGTAACCGAACATGTATTCACTTTTTAATCTGGGAAGCCACTTTCAAGTGGTGAGCTTTACCGTTAAGCCACAGGAAGTCTCAATAAGAAAGTAAGGTATAATTACCCTAATTAAGAAAGGAACCTCTCTGGTCAGGACCTTTTTGGAATCTGAGATATTGGTGGCTTTTTTAATCTGAACTTATTTCTTGTTAATGTTATATTTACTGGGTACATTTGTTTAAGTAGATATCCCTGTGTTTTTTTTTTCTGTTTTTAAACCATTAAAATGATGTCTACCAGTCTATAGATTGAAAGATGTACTAAAGAAAAATTTCTCTCCTTAATCACTTTCATGCCAAGTGCAATTTATTGTCAACTAGGAAGATAATGAGTAACTACCAACACCGAGGTTCGATTGTGACACTCTGGGCTTATGAATATACGTTTTTCCACCAGGTGTATAAATAGCGGTGTCAGGCTACTGACTGGAGTGACTATTGAGTGGAACTATCCAGTCAAATTAGCGTGAATTCTTGTGCATTGAGGATTTGGGCTTTGATTTAGAATTAACCGGACGTTAAGCCAAGCTACACTACTAACAAGGTATTCACTGAAATGGTTCATTATCTTTGGTTGACTTTTACTTAAGTATTTATTTGCGGTTGTAATTAAATACTGTCTTTATCTTGATTTAATTATCTACGGCCACCGAACGTCACAAAATGTTTTATTAATTCAGAGAAAGCGTTCACAAGAAGGAGTGGCTCAGCTACCCTACTTAAGTGCCCCTCTCTGGTTGAGAACTTTCTTGAAATCTATATCTGCTAAGGTTTTTTTTTATATATAATATATATATATACTCAAAATATAAACAGGTTAATTTTTAAGCAGTTAATGGATTTCTTTTTAATCCATAATAATTAGCTTTTGTTAATTTTACTGGGTCCACATAGATATCCCCCATCCCAGGTCCTTTGTAAACAAGAAAAGTTAATGTTTACCAAGGGAAGCCCTACTAAAGAAAATGTGCCTCCTGACAGGAATTCTGTCCAGCACAAATTACTGTAGGTGAAGTAATGTAAAAACATGATAAACAAACCAGAATGTTAAGCCTTGATGTAAAAGGGGAATTGTTTGTTGACAAGGTCCTGTAGGCTTCATATCAATAGACAATTCTTAGCTGGATGCCTTTTTGAAGCTCAGTGTGGACAAATGGTGCCATCCTCTCTCACCATTACTGTCAAATGCTGGCATTTGATGAAAGCAGTATTTGGTCTCAAAACATTCAGTCAGGTCAGAGGTCATGTTACATATATCAATGAAACAAAGGAATTTCTCTCTTTGTCATGTTAATTTAAAAGTTTGTTTTCCCACCCCCTTTCAAGGCCTTTCATCAAAGAAAGGGAATGATTTTTTTTATATTTTTTTTTTTTCTCCATAAAATCATGATGGAAAATTTTTCCTTTTACTATTTATTGGTGGGAGTAGGAGGAGATGTATGGCAGTCGAAAAAGTTTTTTTCTGACGCCTTTCATCCTTAGGACTTCATCAGACTATGTTCGCATTGATGTAACTATTGTACTGTTTGCTTATTTCATTATAAATGTACCTTTTTATGATTAGAGAAGTACCTAGGAAAAAATATTAACTCTTAAAATTGAATGGTATAGCAACAGGTGTAAGATTAATGTTCTGTACACCTTGTGGTGGTACGGTGGAGTAATGGATAGCGGCTCAGATTGAGGAATCAGAGAGTCGAGTTAGAATTCCAGCCGAATCCATTACATTCACTTATGTGCTAATACCCTTGGGAAAGGTATGAATCCTCTTCTTCTTCCCATCAGCTATGGGTAAATAGCAGGACAGACTGGGTTCTATAGCCTTGGATGGCAACTGGTCTACCGCAGAAAGAAATGGCAACCTACTGTGGAAAAAAATCTGCCTCATCAGTCATGTATCAAAAGACACATGATTGTCTAAGTGTCTATCAGGCATGGCACATAACTGACTGACACCTTGTTTATGATAGCAAAAAATACCATATTAAATTTATTTTATTGATTTGTTTCCTATGGCTTATCGACCTTTTGCAAGTTATTTAAAGCCAGAAAATTTAGAATGTAAGGTTTTTTTTTGGGTTTTTTTAGATAATAATGGTTTAGTGATACAAGTCTTACTAATTAACCCCTAGCTGGGGGGAAAGTGGATTCATATCTTTCCCATAAGTGAATATAATGAACCCAACAGGAATTGGGACTCAGCTCTCCAATTAACAATTCCAAGCCATTATCTATTACACCACCTGCACATCTAATCTTACAGAATCAAGTATTCCCAAGTAGTCACTCATCTAGTTACTGACCAGGCTTGACATTGCTTAACTTCAGTGATCATATGAGAACTGGTGTTTCAATGTAATGTGGCTGTAAGCATTAAATTTATTGAAATTAATTATGGCATTAAGTTAATGTAACAACATTCATAAATTAATTTTTCATTAATTTTTCGTTAATATAAAAACATTTAATTTGCTTCTGTTTTATGTTTTTAAATGTTAAAATAAACAAAAATTCCACAAAAGTTCCTTTGATAAAGAAAACCACCAATTCTTCATAAAAAAATTAAATCCTAACAATATATTTATTTACATTATTCAAACTGTTATCCACATCTTCATTGCCATATTCACAAGGTTTCGGCCATTGTATGTTCCAGCCTTCTTCAGGTGATTGGATTTTCAAACCAAACTCTTTATTTCATCCACCGGGGTAGATTGTTCTAGTTTCAAATGCCATGCCTCGTCTGGGTGTCTCCGTTATTTCCCTTTAACTCAACTCTTCAAGTTTTTTGGTTCACCACTGCTGTAGCCTGGTATTGAACTCACAACTCTTTGGGTCTAGTCACTGGATCTAAGCAACGTCTTTATCCACTGGGCCATGTGTCCTTGTAAATAATCATAATCCCTCATCTCAGAGATACAGACCAATATATTTATGATTAAGAATATCGTATAGAAAAATATTAAATTAACTTTGTGACTAATAATGGTATTTTAAAATAAATCTTGCTGTGTAAAAACAGAATAAAAGAAAAAATTCTTTGGAAGAAATTCTCTGTTAAAAATTATAAAACATTACAAACATTATTAAATTATTATTGCATTATTAAAATTAACTTTCCTGGGAGAAATTCTGTAACATTTGTAAGAAGAAAGACTTGGAAAAAAATTGGATTAATGAAGAATTTCTTTAAATAAGATAAAATTAAAATTAACCCAACCCCTCCCAAAGGAGAGGTACAGCCTGGGGAGATGCCCCCTACCTGGAGGCTTCAGTGAATATTATTGGCAAAGGATCAAACCTATCTGCCAGCCAGCACATGATACTTGTATACCGAGAGCTGTTCTATCCTTACTGCCTTGGGCATTTATATAGTCTTGCCTATACTAATTAGGCAGTCATTTATATTATCTGTCTATATTTCTGAGATGAGGTATTGTAATTATTTACATTATTATTAAATTATTACATTATTAAAATTAACTTTTCTGGGAGAGATTTTGTAACATTTCAAAGACTAGAAAAAATTGGATTAATGAAGCCTTTCTTTAAATCAAGTAAAATTAAAATGTTATGTTTCAGTATAAAAAATGCAATAAAAATTCATTTTTTTTCTTCTGTTAGAAACAAAAATAAAGATTATGCAAAAAAAAATTGAAAATTAAAGTTTGATTAGTGCATTTGCTTTTATGAATAAAAAATATCATAGTGGTGAATATTAAATTAACTTCCAAGTAACAAGGCCAAGATTATTAAATTATACTTGTTTTAGTGAGTTTCACACAAAAATTTTCTTTTTACAATGAAAACATAAAAAATAATATCACAATTCTGAAGGAAATAAATCAATCTTAAACTAACTTCAGTGAAGACTACATCAGCACACAAACCAAAACTAAAATGTCTCACTTGCTGTAAAATGACCAGATTGGAAATAGACCTCCATATCTGGCCATGTGTTGCATTATGATTTGCCTTGAAGTAAAGAACATCATGCTGGGATTCTAACTGTGTTAAATCAAAGAATGTTAACTTACAATTTTCTTTTACAGGTACTGTGGGCACAGCCAAGACAATTCTGTATGAAATCTCCGACGACACCAACCAGGCACTTGCTATGGCCATTCTCTCTCTCTCCTGGGGTGTTGGTCTCTTTCTAGGACCTGCCATAGGAGGTAAGAATAGCAATTCATTGTCATCACCCAATTCGGTGTTCTAGAATTCATTCATAACAATTTTGTTTTGTGGATTCTTCTCTATCCTTCCAACCATTTCTGTCAGACATCACTTTCAGTAGGTCCTCCAGATGGCATCCAGAGTCATCTACAAGTTGGTCAATGTAGATGTGATTAGGTCCTTCAACTGATCATTTGCCATGCAATGGGTTGCATAAGAGGGTGTCACTCACAAGTTCCGACTTATTTCTCCAGGTGTGACCCGCTAACTGAAGCCTTCTCTCTCTTAGTGAAACTGAAATAGGAGGAAGGTTTCCATACAGACGTTTCTTTATTGCGTGTTTCTTCCAGCTGAAATCCAATGCAACTCGTAACATCCTTGTGTATGTTCCACTCAGCCACTCATCTCAAGGGGTTTATACAAACATATGGGATGGCACCATTGGCCAGGTAACAAATTTGCATTCCCTGACAATTTTTCTTTATTAACAAGCTTGAGATTCTACTTGGATTTTTAGTTTTGCCAGGGAATACAAGCAACATGTGGGTGCCTTGTCTGGTGAAACAATTGACTTTCATTACTAGAAATTTGTTTGAGGAGCATTCTAGTGGCATCCAGTGGATAGTTTGGTGGTCATGTTCACCCAACATGAATCCAATTGAGCATTTACAGAATGTGCATCCAAGATCCTGCTCTTATTAATATCAGGGATCTGTGGACAGCTACTGAGATGGCAGGGCTCAACATCCCTACAGAGGTTTTCTGACCCCTTGTGGAATCAATGCCATATCAAGTTGCCTCACTTTGCCAGGCTTGTAGGGGTTCTACATGATTATGGGACATAATTTTTAGTATGTCAGGGTGTATATGTTTTGATATTTTTTTCATTACAATTTCATAATTCGATGGTAATTATTCTGATGAACTTTCTGCCATGGTACCTTGACTTTATGAATTTAAGCACAGTACCAGATTGGCAACAAAGTCTCATCATTTTACAGTTGAAATTGCTAGATGAAACCGTAAGTTCTATGCTGAGAGTTTCTTCTATCGCACTTCTCACTTGTGGAACTCTCTTCTGGCTTCTTGCTTCCCTGTCAACATTGATCTGCAAAAATTTAAAGGCAATGTTATCTTCTGTCTTCTCGATATTGTCTACATTATTTCCTAAAGAAAGTTCTGCAGAATTTTTAGAAGAATTAACCGCTATAATAATGAATAAATTTTTTTTTAAAATGTTTCTTAAATTTTTTACGAATATAAGCTTTATTTCTTTAAATATCGTCATTTCCTAAAAATATTTTATTCTTATTTTTGTTAATCAGTTCGAGTTTGGTACGTTTTGGCATTGCCCATTTGGCATGAGAAAAATAACTGGACTATTTGGCACAGCCATTTAGGCATCAGACTATTTTGACGTCACTGTCTTTGACCCGTGGCACCCCCCCCCCAAAGAATAAAAGCATTGAAAACACTCAATATGACATTTTATTGATTTAGGGAATTAAGGATCCTATTAAAACACTAATGGAATAATGTAAATTAAAAATTTAAATTAAAAATATTATATTTAAAAAAAGAAATTAAAAAAACCATTAAAAAAGCTATTTAATGTTAGAAATGACTTCTTCATTTCGTAATTATGAGCAACATACTTCAGGAATTCAATAGGATCTATGTAATCTCTTTTTACATCGATCTTTCTGTTCACATCGCCAAAACTTTAATTAAGGATCTCTTTTGCTTATTGCGTCAAAAATAAAAAAGGTATCTATCGTATATCACTTTGTTTCTTCCATGTTTTGATAAAATATTTGCTTCCATTTCGAATAAAAGGGGATTTGACGACTGAAAAATATGAAACTGCACTGAAGGAAATATAATATAAAAATACCAACAACTACTCTTTTTCTTAAATTGGACTCAGTTAGTTATGCACCATACATGATACACGCTTAGGTGATCATGTATCTTTCAATACATGACTGACGAGGCAAATTTTTTTTTCCTGCAGTAGGTTGCCATTTCTTTCTGCAGTAGACCAGTTGCCATCCAAAGCTATAGAACCCAGTCTGTCCTGCTGTTTACCCATTCAAGCATAAAATAACAAAGTACTAATTTAACTGCTGAGAGAGAGAGAGAGAGAAAGAATGAACAAATTTGAGTATAAGGACAAAATTGTAATCTGATACCTAATCAGTCTTCTGCTAAAAAATTTCTATGTCAAATTAGGCCACACCAAATGGGCTACACCGCAATGTCCCATTTCCAATCAATTCACCCAAAGCAAGTAAATATTAAATAGTGTTTAATATTTTTGTTCTATATTCCCAAGAAAAAAAATGTATAAATTCACTTTCATCATGTTTAGGTTTTATTCCAATTCTAATTATCATTTTTTAAAATGATAAACATTGCCAAGGAGTGATGGTAGTTAAAATAAAGCAGTGTTATGGAGGGGACAAAAAAGTGTCCTTTTGAACTTCCATTTTTTTTATTATTTTTTTTAATTTATATATATTTTTTTTTTTTTTTTTTTTTTTAATATTTTTTCTTTTGTTCATTTTTTTCCTTTCCTTTTCTTTTGTATATTTTTTTTCCTTTTCTTTTGTTTATTTTTTTTCCTTTTCTGCATGCATAGAGGTGCATGTTTGCCAAATAGGCTTTATTGACTTCCTTGGGGTGAAATGAGAAAAAGAAAAAAGTGAATTTTGATGAAATCTTACCAATAACTTTGTTTGGAATCTAATAGTTTTTCTTGTTGTTCTTGCAGGATTCTTAGCCTCGCCAGCCAAAAAATACCCAAGATATTTTGATCCTGAGGGATTCTTTGGAAAGTTTCCATACCTATTGCCAGGTGTTGTATCATTCATCGTTGCATTTAGTGTTTTCTTCATTGTTCTCTTCAATATGCCAGAAACAAGTAAACTTAAGTAAGTATATGATATATATGTGTGTGGGTGGGGAAAAACAATATATAAATGTATACATATCAGAAGAATTTTAGGAGAATCTATGACAAAGCGGAAAAAATTTTCCTGTGGCACATTTTGTCCTTTAGGACATCATTGGACACAAATGATATTTACACCAATGCAATTACACATATGCATGAAGGAGAGGGGACATTGAAATTTAAATTAAATTTTTTTTTTTTTTTTTTTTTAATTTAAAATTCCA